CTCTGTTGTTCTGCTAATTTCGTATTTTTGTTGTAATAGTTTCTCTCTAATTTAGCCTTAACTAAATGTTCTTTGTACCCTTTTAATAAATCTTTCGCTTCTTCTTCCTTACGAGCATTATACTGTAAGCCGTTCCGAAAATGTTGGCGCGTGTCACATAAATCCGTTCGTGGACTCATAATTTGAATATAAGGCGTTAATTGGTGCCATAATTTGCAGAATGCATCATATTTTAACATTTTCAATGTGCTATCATTTTTGAGACCTGCAATGAAATCACGATAGACTGATTTATAACTCGTTTCGGCTGGCAAAAGTGTAAGCGATTGAGTAATTCGGTTAACATTTCTACCAGGTTTTCGAGAAAATTGGTAGCAACATTTATATCAATGGTTATTTTGGTTTTCTAGCGCGGCACTTTTTTACCATGAACACGTGGTATGATACCATCCGTTGCCAGATGATTTCTAACGTTTTCGAAGTGAGTGCGACCAATTCCTAACATATTAAGATATGTTTTCTGACAAAGTGGCGTATTGCAATCTCAATAGTAAAATTAGCGCGCGTTTTCTTTTAAGACGTCGACTAGCAGTTATTTCTCCGCCAGTCATTGCTTTCAGTTGGGCCATTAAAAATATATCTTGTTCAGACTTAGAGAGAGCTTGAAACGCTTCACGTAATTCAGCAAACTTTTCTCTTGGGATCTTTTTCGAACACCCACAGTTACAACCTGTCTCCAAGAAATGTATTGCTTTTTCATATTTTGTTGAACCGTTATAATTATAATTTTCCATATACAGGTATTCTTATATACTAGTTTTATCATCCTAGAAGAAGTGTGTGAGCAAGATATGAACAAGAGACCAAACTTATTTACTTAAATTAGTGGATAATTGCTTCTATTAGCACGTTGTCCTATATTATCTTTACTATATGATCCATCTTCAACAGGTGATATATAATCTTTGAAAATGTCATAAATCCTTTACTATTATAGCCACAACATTCATCTAAGTAATGCTATGAAACATATTATCAATTCATGTTTGTATTTTCTAATCTGTCCCCTTTCAGCAGCATAATTATTATAAAGTGAAACATACCGATCATTTTATCACGATTTATTTCAATGGGTAGCTCACCACCGAGACGATTTCTGAACAATCCTAGCAAATTCTTGGTCAATGCATCAACAGGTGTATGCATCATAGCCTCATTTCCACCAATTAGGAGATTCTGATTAAAATTCGGATGAGTGCATAGCTAATGTATAATGCCAAGTCGGCTGCGTGATTTTCATTATCACAATAGACGAATTCCGCAAGTTCAGGGCACTAACAAAATTTTTTCCGTTGTCATTAATAAAATGTGGGTACAACATTTAGCGTATACTGCGGACTTGTTACAGGCGATTTGTGCTCAATGGGAGATTGAATAAGTCTTGTAAGATCCTGAGCCTTAGTTTGGATGTCTCCTTCGAATCGTTTTATAAGCTGTTGACAGATAATGCCCGTATTGTCAATTACATATTCATAGCTTCGCTTTAGAGAGTGCAATGTGCTAGCAGCTATAAACAATGATTAGACGTGAATACAGGAAGTTAATACAACTACTCTATGTCCCCAACGCCTGAGAAATAGTTATCATAACTCTAATCTACGTACTCTACCCTAAGTACACACTACCCTATGTCCCCAACGCCCGAGTCACAAAGTCGTTACCTGTTTGAGTTCTTGCCTGCCGCAAGTCTTCGTCTCTCTTCGCCCACACTCCTCTGCAGGTCTCCACGGCTGCTGTCAGTCTCTTCTTTTCCTCTTCCAGCGCCGTCTTCTCCTCCTTCCACTCGACTCGCTGCGCCTCGGTCCCTTCGTCGCTCCACAACTTCTTCTCTAACCACGTCAGCCGCTGCTCGTATTTCCCCTTAATCTCCTTCACCTCCGCCTTCGCCTCGTCTAACTGCTTCTCAGCCTTCGCCAATTCTTGTTCGATTGTTTCAACGCTTGTTATTTCTTTGTTTTTGTTAGTTAGAAGAGAAAAAGTGCGATGTGATCTAATACCGTAATTATAATATACTCGAAATCTTTCGCGATTGTCCACAGTTCAGCAGTGACCAATGATAATTGATGCGCAGCAACGCGCGTTTGTCTATTTAAAGATTTTATTACGGAAGCAAGCACTAGTCGCTTATTTTCAGAAAAAGCAACCACCACCCAACAAATACAAATATCGTTTAAAACGATAAAAAACCAGATCTAACAATTTCCATCAATAAACTCTGCGAAGAATATTTACATTTACAAGCGGATTCTTCCTTGGAGCATTAATTGGCTTCGTTCTTGGTTTGTTGGTAAATTACCGCCAACTCTATCGCACTGGCGCAT